ATAGTAAACAAAAAATAGGAAGTGCCCATGAACATACACACACAAGCTCTGGTCAGTGGAGGTGGGGAGGTAACTCGGTGTGTGTGTGTGTGTGTGTGTTTGTGTGTTGTGTAATGTAGTGTAGTATAGGGTAGTGTTGTGTAGGCTTGGGGATGTAGTTCATTTGGTGAGTGCTAGCATGCTGGAAGCTCTGGAATCTAGTCCCGGCACCATGAAAATAGGTAAGAAAATAAATAAAGCATTACACACAGTGATGTTCTTTCGAGGATGTCTATTAGAACACTGGTTGTAGTTTAGAGGCTGACTAGGCAAGCTGGGGCAAGTCTTGGGCTAGCACTTGGAAGGTAGAGGCTGGAGGATCAGGAGTTCAAGGTCATCCATGGCCAGGCTGGGCTACTTGAGGCCCTACCTAAAAAAGAGAGAGAGAGAGAGAGAGAGAGAGAGAGAGAGAGAGAGAAAGAGTTGTTCCCCACCCCCAAGAAAGACAGGGTTTCTCTCTATATCCTTGGCTGTCCTGGACTCTCTCTGTAGAACAGACTGGACTTGAACTCACAGAGATCTGCCTGCCTCTGCCTCTCAGAGTGCTGGGACAACAGGTGTGCACTAGCCCTGCTAAGAGTTGCTTTTTCTTTTAATTTTTATTTTTATTAATTACAGTTTATTCACTTTGTATCCCCCCCCAGATCCCTCCTCCTCCCCTCCCAGTACCACCTTCCCTACCCTTACTCCACCCATGTCCCTCCCCAAGTCCACTGATTGATAGGGGAGGTCCTCCTCTCCTTCCTTCTGATCCTAGTCTATCAGGTCTCATCAGGAGTGGCTGCATTGTCTTCCTCTGTGGCCTGGTAAGGCTGCTCCCCCCTCAGGGGGAGGCGATCAAAGAGCAGGCCAATCAGTTCATGTCTGAGACAGTCCCTGAGAGATGCTTTTAACAGGAAAAAATTCAAGGAGTGGCTTATAATGGAAAAAATAAACAACAAAACAAAGCTTTAAATCCCAGCACTCTGGAAGGCAGAGGCTGAAGGATCTCTGTGAGTTTGAGGCCAGAATGGTCTACAGAGCTAGTTCCAGGACAGCCAAAGCTACATAGTAAAACCCGGTCTCAACGAACAAACAAACAAACAAACAAACAAACAAAAAACAGAAACAACCCAAGCCTGTAATTCTAGGACTCAGGGAGGCAGAGGCAGGTGGATTTCTGTGAGTTAGAGGTCAGCCTAGTCTACAAATCCAGGAAAGGACAACCAAGGCTACAAAGAGAAATCCTGTCTTGAAAAAACCAAAACCAACCAACCAAAAAAACATAAAAACAAAAACCATAAAAAAAAAAACCCCAATATCCTGGTTAAGCCAACCATGGCATATTTATATATAGAAGTGACAATTCAGATACTTAATGATATTAAAATATGCATGGATTCTTAAAAAACATAAACAAGATAGGATCCAACTCACAAATATCAAAACAAAAATGCTAGGCACAGATATACTTTTTTCATGATATTGCTTAATTCTTGGTACTGGAAATAGTGTGACTTTTTTTTTCCCCCTACAACTATATTTGAACAATAAAGTCAAAATTTTAATGTAGCAAAGAAAAATAAAAACCATGTAGCTTATTATTCTATATATATATAACATTGTTTGTGCATAAAGTTTGGTTTTCACAGGAAGGTATTATCCCAGCTGAAAATATTCACTACAGTCAGGCACCTGGATGCCTCCTTATGCCTCTGCTGCCAATGGGCTGGGTTATTCAAGTGGGCTACCATATCTGCCTCTAATTCAGTATTTTAGAAAGAATAACTTTTCCTTAAATAAGAAGATAAAAGAGTAAACACAGAAACGCTTATCAAGGTAGGTTGTGAGGAGAGATGTAGTAGACTCTTCCTCAAAGTGTCCCTCTTTGCTTGCTTTTGCCAGGCTGGGCTTAGCTCCTTGTGGAGCAAAATGATCCCCATCTTTCTGAGAGACAAGCAGTGCCAATTTCACAGAAGAACAAGGACCACTGATTTTGAAGCCTAAATAGGCAAAGTCCCTAGGGGCAAAAGCCCTCTACCAGGGCACCAGAGGACAGTCCAAGCATGAGGATCAGCTGAGCCAGGTCCAGGAGTTAGCCCCCATAAGTCCCACTGGGGCATCATGAAGCATCGCCTCCATAGCTTTATAGAGCTTAGAGTGAAATCAGGGGACAGATTGCTTGGGGTTGCCCCATTCTTCAGGGGTTCCCCTGGTAAGCTTCAGGGGGGATTCCCTTACATATGGCAGAACCCTAACAGTAAGTATGGGGGCTACAGGGGAGAACAGGTCCCTGCTTGTTAGTGGGAGACTGGAAGGGGTGGGGGAATTCCTAAAAACTCCATTTACAGAGAAGGAGATCCCCTTGTTAGTCAAAGTTCCCTTGGCACAGGGTATTTGGAGGCAGAGGACTGTGTCTGATTCCTTCAAGCTTTCTGATCTCTTTAAGGTTTTAGAGACAAGACAACTGAAATAGACATGGCACATGCCCAGCTACTCCTCTGCCCACTACTGTCTGGCTACTAATTAGTTCTATGGTCACAGACGTTAAAACATTTGCATGGATCTAGTATCTTCATATTTTGTCTTTCTCTAGAGGTAGCAGCTCCCAGAATGCCAGGCTGGCTTCCAACTTGATGTAGCTAAGAATGTCTTGCAGTTCTCTTCCTCTACTTTCCAAGTGATGGAATCATGGATTTGTGCTAGCATGCCTGGTTCATGAGATGCTGGGGTCTAATCCAGTGCATGGGTCATGCTAGAAAAGCACTCCATCAAATACAATATACCCTGACCCTCAGATCAGTCACTCTTTTAAGGAGTTCTTTTATGTGTGTCGGGGGCAGGCTGCCCGTGGTGTACAGAAGAGGGAACTGGATTCCCTGAAGACGGAATTATAGGCAATCAACTGTGACCTGCCCAGTATCTCCCTTCCCCCAAATCATTCTTAATTAGCTCCTGTTTGAAGATAATTCCAGAAAGAAGACGATGTGGAAATTATTTAAATATGTGTTCTTTAATTCACTTTTGGAGACAGGATTTTGTGTCGTTGAGCCTGGCCTAAAGCTTGCTTTGTAACAGAGTCTAGCCTGAACTTCCTCGTTTCTGGGATTGCAGGAATGTGCCACCATCCATACCTGATGACAGCATAGACTTTATAAAACATACGGAAGGATGTATGCATGAGGGAAGGCAGGTGCTCTGTTAATGCCATTAAGGATTCCAACTTTTTTGACTGAATCTATTGCTTCTAGAAAGCAAATGCTAGTGTAACACCTAACTTAATGTAGTTCCTATTATACATTAAGGATACAAGATTGAAATAAAGTAATATTTATTAGTTTTTGAGTAAAATAACATGCAGATGACATTTCTCAATATCTTAATCTTATAACTGATTGATGTCAGTAACCACTTCTTTTTTTAAGGGAAGAAGGGCTGTAATGATTAAAACATAATGTGTTTATTTGCAAAATGCCTAGAATTAAAAAAAAAAAAAAAAGAGGAAAGTGTCTTCCTTTCCTCTTGTTTGTCATTGTTGCTACATTTTTCTATGCTTCGGCAGTCACAGCAGACAGGGTTGTCTTCTTACTCCAAGGTAAAGGCAGGTGCTTCCCGAAGTACTGTCTTAAAATCAGCAACCAGTACTTATCAGCGGTATTGACCCGAGGACCTTTACCAGGACCAACCTACAGCATCTGATGGCCAGGTGACAGGATGGGTGGGTGACGGTGTGTACTGCTGGGAAGAAAACTCAAAGTCCACAGCTTTCAGCGGCACGGTAGCCCTGTCAGTCTGCATACTGAAATTATGTTGTCCATTACAGGTGATAGACAAACTGACACAAGTACTCACAAGCTCACCTTAGGATTAATGAATCTTATTTCATATACACCAGGCACTAAGACTGAGGTGTGTTAAGCCAAAGTGGTTTTGAAAGCTCTAAATGAACACGTCCATCTTAACAAACATTCATGCTTATCGTTAGCTCAATTAAAAATGTTAAGGCAACTGGGACCGGTGGCTCTCACCTTTAATCCCAGCACTTGGGGGAGGGGGCAGAACTGTTGTGTTAGCAGACAGCCTTATCTATACAGTGGGTTCTAGGACACAGAAGTAGGGGTAGAAAGTGAGGACCGTCTGAACAAAATAAACAAGCCAAAAAGTCCAATCAAGTAGCTGTGCATGGTGACAGAACACCAGACAGAAGAATGAACTCGAAGCCAGCCAGGCTGAGCAATAAAGCCATCTCAAAAAAAAAAAAAAAAAAAAAGTATTGGTAAATAGTAATTTAAAACACACTGGAGAAAATTTCCTTAAAAACAAAACAAAACAAACAAACAAACCAACAAACCCGTGAGCCAGTTGGTGGTGGTACAGGCCTTTAATCCCAGTACTCAGGAGGTAGAGGGAGTTGGATCTTTGTGAGTTCAAGGCCAGCCTGGTCCACAGAGTAAGTTCCAGGACAGCCAAGGCGACACAGCGAAACCCTGTCTTGAAAAACCAAAAGGAGGACGAGGAGGACGAGGTGCATGGCAGGGTGTCAGCCCTGCATGGAGGGGTGTACCCATGTGTCCCTGAGCCTGGCACAGAAGCAGCTGACACACCCCCTGTTGCTGGAGTTACAGGTCTGAGCCACCATACACAGGTTCCGGGAACTCAACTCTGGGTCCTCCCGAAGAGCAGCCGTCTATCCAGCCTCCAGCATCTTGATTTTAATACTTGAAAGAGGAGAGCCCTTTTATCAGCCCCTCTTCCCACCCCACTCAGGAGGGGGAAAGCAGCTAGGCACGGTGATATACGCCTTCTGGAAGCTCGAGGCAGGTGAATCTCTGGGTTTGAGGCCACCTTGGTCTACTGAGTTTCGGGACAGAGAGAACCTGTCTTTAAAAAAGAAAAATTAAGAAAGGAAGGAAGAAAGGGAAAAGGGAAAGCCTGAAATAGGCTCGCATAAAAGAATTTTAAGATTTCTCTTGTGGGGCACGATGGCGCACACCTGTAATTCCAGCACTGGGGCTACTGAGGCAGGAGGATTGCTGTAAATTCGGAATCAGCTTGGGCTAGACAGCAGGATGCTGTTTATTTTGAGACAGTCTCAGTGTGTATTCTGGGGGACCTGGAATTAACAACTTAGACCAGGCTGGCCTCGAAGTCAGAAATCCGCTTGATCCTGTTTCAGCCCTTCAAACAAACCAACAAAGCAACCTCACTTTGTTTAAATGCGTTAATGTTTTCCAAACATCGCACAATTAAGGGTGGGGGAGGGTGAGTTTAAGGGCTCTTAATTGGCAAGCCTCTTTCTGAAAAAAACAAAACAAAACAAAAAAACAGTAAAACTAGACTAATATGACTACGGAAGGTTCATTTCCAGCTTAGACCGCTCTAATCACTCTAAATTCCACACACGAGGCCAAGAGCTTTCCTCAAAGTCCTAAAAATTAATTCCCCCCTGCACACGCTGTGTTCGGAGCGGCACTCCCTTCGCAGCCGCACTCGGCAGCCGGCTCCTCCCCGCTCGTGGGGAAAACCCTGCCTAATATTTATAACGCTATGACATACTGTAATACTCACAAGGTGGTAGTAGAAGTATAAACACGACCGGAGCCCTCTGATTGGCTGCTGGTGATGTAACACCCATGTCAATACTTCCCAGTGAACGCACGTGTTCGACCTTTTATTTAAATTTCCATTTCATCACAGCAATAAGACACTCGGGGCGGTGCATTTTCTGCGAAACGATCGCAGCCCGGGGCCAGAGGTGCTGCCCGGGCGCACACAATGCGCCCAAGGAGGTGTCCCCGCGAGGAAGGCACCGCCTGGTCCAGTCTTTTGTGAAGGAACCAAAAAATAAGTTCACTTCCTCGGGCCCCCCGGCCCCCCAAAAGCAGATGACAAGGCTCCTGCGCGCTGCCAGCGCGGTGACTCCGGGCGTCCCAGGTGGAGTCGCGGCGAGGGCCGGGCACGGGGCGCCGGGGCGCGCGGCGGCCGGCCCAGCCCAGCCCAGGCCTGGCCGCCCCTGACACCCGCCAGCTGTTTGTCCTGGCCGAGCCGGCCCCGCCCCGAGACCCCGGCCCCGCGCCCCGCCCGCCCGCCGGCCGCCCGCTTCCTTCCCGCGGCCGCACCCCCGCCCGCAGGCCC